ACAAGCCGTCAGAGCGTCGCCCCTTCGTCAGGTGCAGTGAGAGTCATCCATTTGGTTTGATCCAGAAGTTGCAAACCTCAATTCATTGTTTGAACTTATACCAAGTTTTAAAGCTCATTCTCTATTATTCATTAAACTTACTTAGTATCTGTTCTATTTCCATTTGCAGTTCCGCAACATGAACCATTTCTGCCCTGTTTCACACCTACCTTGTCTTTGTTATTTCAGGTCCAACCCCATTCCCTCACCCACTGTTGTCCTCCCTCATTCCACTCTATACAAACTTGACCTTGTTCAAGATCATGTCTATATTCAGTCCCACACAAGTTCTGTTCATTTGTCATGCAGGTGTCCTCAGTAACCTGTATTGTGCCTGTGAACCTCAATGCAATGATTTTGAAGTTCTTGTTTTTTTTCCCCCCCAATCTCTTATCTCTGCAACATTTTACTGTGCTTATGATCCTCTGATCCAGCTTTTTTGTGCATCATCCTCATGCAACAACTCTTTAATATCTTGGTCCCACTATCTAGTTCTCACCCTAAACCTCTTCACTTGCTACTTTTTTCTCTGACTTTGACATTTTCCTCACAACCTCACTTTTTGACTGTGTGCAATCATCTTTCCTATTTGCCCTGCATTTAATGTCTGAGGACATTTGTACTAAATTAAACTTGTATGATAAATAAACACAAGATCCTTGGTGAGAATAGGAACTTCTGAGCTCACTGGTGCTGTAATGGGAACTCAAAAATGAAATAAAAATGCCTAATTAAGCCATTCTAAAATATTTAGTTGTTTATGATTTTTGTAGTGCAGTTTCTGTTATTCCTGATTAGAATGACATTGATTTGTTGCAGTTGGTCCTCTCTTCTGCGCTTATGAACAATACAGAGTTAGATGAGAAAGTAAGTGGTGAGGACAATGTAGAGATAAATAGTTTGAGTGAGTGGCCCTAAACATGACAAATGGAAAATGAAGTGGTAAAGTGTGAAGTTATCCACTTTGACAGGAAAATATTTGAGTGGTGAGATACTCGGAATTTTGTATATTGAGAAGGACTCGTGTATCCTTACACATAAATGACGGAAAGTTAACATGCAGGTATAACAAGGAGTCAAGAAGACTAACGACTTTAAACTTTTTATTACAAACCGATTAGAGAAAAGTAATGAATTCTCACTGGAACTATAAAGGGCATTAGTGTGACTACGCCCAGAGTGGTGATGGCAGTTTGTTTCCTTACCAAATGAAGGATGTGTATGCTGTATAAGAGAGTGCAACAAAAGTTCAGGAGACTGTGTTTCCTGGGATAAAGGAGAGATTGAATAGACTGCGTTTGTATTTCCTGGAATTTAGACGAATGAACAGTGATCTGATTGAAACATACAGAAGTCTTAGCGGGCTTGACTAGGTAGATACTGAGAAAATGCTTCTTGAGTTGCAGAATCTATACATGGATTCACGCTCTCTATTTGCCACTTCGGATTGAGACAAGAAGTTTGTTCGTTCACAGGACTGTGAACCTATAATATTCTCAACAGCAAAGAGCTCTGTGGTTTAGTTGTTGAACATATTTAAGATTGCAGTTGATGGACTTTTGTGTACTAATGGAATTAAGGGATATAGGGATAGTGCATGAATGTGGAGTTGGACTAAAAGTTCTGCCATGATTTTATTGAAGGTACAGGCTTGACACAGCCCACTCTGTCTCTTATTGCTTATGTTCAAATATTGTGAGCATTTTATATGCAGGAAGCATATACAACAACAAATGAAATGATTGAACAATTACATCTGATTTAGTGTTGGTTGAAGGAAAAATGTTGTCCAGATCCCAGAGGGGCTTTTTTAATTAAAGAAAGACTCCATGGATTCCTTTGTATTTACATGAACAGGCAGACCAGATATTACTTGTCCATCTGATTTTTAAATCAATTCATGGATATGAATGTTGCTGTCTAGGCCAGAATTTATTGCCCATTCCTAATTGTACTTGAAACAGTAGTGATGAACTGCCATCTCGAACTGCTGCAATCCATGTGATATTGGTGCACCCACATTTATGAGGTGAACAGGATTTTGATTGAGTCATCCAAGTACAGCCAGTAGGTCAGGATTGTGTCAGAGCTAGAGGGGATTGTGCAAGTTTTTGTATTCCCATGCATGTGCTATTTGTATACCTCCAGCTGGTAGTGACCATTGGTCTGGAAAGTGCCGTCGAGAAATATTGATGAGTTGCTGCAGTGTATTTTATAGGTGGTATTGGAAAAGAAGCATACTCCATTGCTGTCTTCAGATGTTAACCCAAATTGTGTTTTAGGTCTGTAGTGATGTAGTAACTTAATGGAGTATTTGACTCTGGTGACTGTTAGTGACATAAGATGCTGCATTTATACCTGGTTCACATTAGCTAACCTAATCTGGCATAATAATGAGGACTATGCAATTGGCATTAGTGTTTCTTCTCTACAAAAAAAAATTAACAATGGTTCAGTACTAGTCCCTAAGGTAAACATCTCTTTGCAGAACTATGTGGGTGTGGGTGACTAGTGTTACGTCGTTTGAGACATGATTGTTAGTCAAGATACTAGAAGAATTCCCTTGCTTTTCTTCAAACAGTATTATCATTTATATCCACAACAGTTGATGATACTTAAGTTTAATATTTTGTTTTAAAGATTGTACTACACGCACAGCAGATACATGTTAGTAATGCACTGAAATGTCCATCCAGGTTATGTGCTTAAGTTGTGGACTGGGTTGAATTTGGAACCTTCCGGTTTAGAGTAGTGAATGAGCTAAGGCTGATGGATCATAGCTATCTAGTTTTGATCTTGGGTTGAGGTAGTTGATTCCAATCAGTGCATCAATGGCACACCACAGTTGGGTTCAGCATTTGTAGGTTAGCAATGGGAAACTACTGGCAAAGTTCCAGCTCTGTTATCCAGTGACTATTTCTTGAAAGTGTACATTTGTGGCTGAAAAGGAATTAGGCTCAATTGTAATGATTTCTGCCATGATAGTGGTAAAATATGCACTATAAATTTTCAATTTGTATCATCTGAGCTTTAATGTCTAAGAATACCTAAAATGGCAGTTGTGATCATCTGACTAAAGATTGAAGTAAGTCTAGGAGACCATTTATTTGATTGAAAAACATTGAAATCAGACTAGTGAGTCAGTGTTAAGAATTTTGCAACTCCTGTTTTAATTTAGCTTGTTCAATATGTGTGCAGTTCTACATCAAAGTTTGTGTGCGACTATTCAGCTTGGAAAGAAAATGAAGCCAGACCTGCGAGTGTACACATGAATAGGTCTTAATGACAGCAGAGGAAAGAGAAAGAAAATGCATTAACAGCAAAAACTGAAAGTTTCTATCTCCATGTTCATTCCCATCTCAGTAGATGGTATGATGAAAAAGCAAATTGGGCAAGCAGCCATTCGTTGACACTCAAGGTTATCTGCAAACTTTCATCAGCGGATGATGCAAGTCAGCAATTATACAACTGTGGTCTCAGGCTAAAAATCCAACATCTGCAGGATTCTGAGGACTTCAGGACTGCATAGTCTTTATTCTTTCTGTCTATGCCAGACAACACTTTCTTTACAATTTATTGCCTATGTTTGTTTGTGTGTGTATTCAAGAAAACATTGTACTAGACAAAAGTAAACAGTCAACTATAATGTTGTAATAGAAGTGTGATAGCTGCAAGCATAATCCAGGCCTGAAACGTCAGCCTTTCTGCTCCTATGATGCTGCTTGGCCTGCTGTGTTCATCCAGCCCTGCACCTTGTTGTCTCAGATTCTCCAGCATCTGCAGTTCCTACTATCTCTAATAAAAATATTTGTTGTGACTGATGGAGAGAGGGGAACTTGACTCACCCCATCTCATATGGTTGTAACATTTCATAGCTGAATAAACTGTTCAGTTCCTTGATAATGCACAATAAAAGTAGTCAATATATAGAAGACTACTGGAACCTATGAAAGTGCTGTGCCAGCAGACAAGATGAAAGAGAATATGGAAGGTTACTTAATAGCTTGAGGGAAAAATAAAATCATTTCACAAAATAATGTGGAAGCTGGCAATCTGAAATTAAAAATTAAATAGGGCAGGCAATGGCCTAGTGGTATTATCGCTGGACTGTTAATCCAGATTACGTTCTGGGGACCAGGGTTCGAATCCTACCGTGGCAGATAGTGGAATTTGAATTCAGTAAAATACCTGGAATTAATAAGCTAATGATGACCATGAATCCATTGTTGATTGTTGGAAAAATCCATCTGGTGCTCTCCTACCTGATCTGGCCTATGTGCGAGTCCAGACCCGCAGCAATGTGGTTGACTCTGAACTGCCCTCTGGGCAAATAGGGATGGGCGATAAATGCTGCTTAGCCAGCGAAGCCCTCATCCCAGTAATGAATAAAACAAAATTGAAACTGCTCAACAGGCCTGGTGACATTCATGGAGTAGCAACAGTTGATGATTTGTATTAGTGGTCTTTCATCAGAACAGCAGAAGTCCTATCTCATGAATGAGCGAAGAGAACAAATCAAAAAAAAGACTGATGAGATAACAGTACTTTTCTGTTGATACTTTATAGCCATCAAGAACTTAAATGGTAGGACTTGGTAATATTGCAACAGCCCATGTGAGAGATTGTAAAGCTTCTGTTATTTCCCTGATTTCAAAGCTTGGTATTTTGCTTTGTAAGAATGATTTAATGTGTTTCTTGTCAGGTGAGAGACGAGGAAGGTGTTCATTTGCTCCCTTTCACTTTCCTTTTAGAAGGTATTTTAAATTGTAATGTTAACTAATTTCAATTAGGAGGAACATATAGGAAAGAGGCAGAGTCCTGGTAAAGAGTAAAGTTTTTGTTTTAAAGCTGCTGATTAAGGGCAATGGACAAGCTGACAAGACTGTTTTAAATGTTTTCCACTTTAACTGAAACAGGTGGTGATTTTATTTGGAATTTTGCTGAACCAAATGTATTTTTTCCTTCAGGGGCAAATGTGGTGTTTCACTTTTGAACGAGACCGAGTCAGTAGCCTGCTATTTGGAAAAAGAGGTAAGGTGTTGACCATCATTTTTGATATTATGACATACTTATTCAAATATTTCTTCCACAAAGTTTTTTTGTGGGTGCTAAAATTTGAATTCCCAGCAGCCATCTTTGCTGTCATTTCTATGTAAAAAGCAATATTGCTGCATCTGAAGCATTGAACCTTTTGAGGTATTTGTAATTCGGATGACACAGACACATTTGCTCATTTGTTTGCTTTGTTATAGTTAGCAATACAATGATTAGAGATTTTCAGATGTTTACAAATGGCATACTTAATACAATATTGGGGCTTATCTATGAATACCTTAATGAAGGGACTGTTGATACAGAACAAAGAACAACACAGCACAGGAACGGGTCCTTCAGCCCATCAATACTGCCGACATATGATGCCTTTCTAAACTTGCAACCTTTTACCTCTACACTATTCATATTCCTCCGTTCTCTGCTTATACACTTATCTGTCTAGATGCCTCTTAGATGTTGGTATTGTATCCGGCTTCTACCACCACCTCTGTCAGTTCATTCCAGACACTTACTATGTCCCCTAGTAGTCGACATTTCTACCGTAGGAAAAAGGCTCTGACTATCTGTTCTATCCATGCCTTTCATAATTTTGTCAACTTCTATCAGGTCACCCCTTAATCCTTTGATATTCAAGTGAAAAGCCAAGTCTGTCCAATATCTCCTTCTATCTAACACCCTCCAAACTAGCCAACATCCTACTAAGCAGTTACTGTACTCTCTCAAAGCCGCCACATCCTTCTGGTAGTATGGTGACCAAAGCAGTACTCAATATTCCAAATGTGGCATAACTAAAGGTTTATACAGCTGCAACATAACTTGCTAGTTTTTATACTCTATGCCCTGACCAATGAAGGTAAGAATGCCATATGCCTTATGCAACCTTATCTATTTGTGTTTCCACTTTCAGGGAACTGTGGACTGGAATGCCTAGATCCCTCTATGTTAATGCTTCTAAGGGTTCTGCCATTTACTGCATACTTCTCTTCTGCATCTCCCAAAATGCATCAGATTGCATTTGTCTGGATTAACTCCATGTGCGATTTCTCTGCCAAAGTCTCTAGCCTATTTATACCCTGCTGTGTCCTTTGGTAATGCTCCTCACTATCTGCAGCTCTCTCAATCTTTATGTTGTCTGCAAAACTCCTAATCAAGCCACCTACATTCTCCTCCAAATCATTTATGTATTTATTTTGTGAATAACAGGATTCCCAACACTGATCCCTGTGGAACACCCAATGGTCAGATATTTCCAATCTGAAAAACACCCTTCCACTGCTACTCTCTGTCTTCTAGAGATATGTATCCATCTTACTCCTCACCACAGATCCCATGTGACTTCACCTTTTCTATCAGCCATGAGGGACTTTGTCAAAAGCTTTGCTGAAGTCCATATAGACAACACCTTACCTGCACAAAGGTATACTGTCTATTGCTAATAAGTCTGTATTTTTTCCAAATGTAAATAAATTCTATCCCAAAGAATATTCTTCAATAATTTCCCTACTACTAACATAAGGCTTGCTGGCCTCTAATTTCCCAGATTATCCTTATTGCCCTTTTTAAACAAAGGAAAAATGTTGGTTATTGTCCAGTACTCTGGGACCTCTCCTGTGACCAAAGAGGATACAAAGATTTCGTACAAGCCCCAGCAATTTCTCTACCTGCCTCTTTCAGCATTCTGGAATAGGTCCTGTCAGGTCCTAGGAACATGTCTACTATAATGCTTTTCAAAACATCCAACTTCCTTTTTTTATATTGACACACCCTAGAATATCAACACACCCATCCCGAGATTCACCATCCGCCATTTCCTTCTCTTTTGTGGATACCAATACAAAGCATTCATTAAGGATCTCACCCACTTCCTCTGACTTCATGCATAAATTCCCACCTTTGTCCTTGAGTGGACCTACCCTTTCCCTAGCTACCCTCTTGCTCCTTATATATGTATAAAATGCTTTGAGGTTTTCCTTAATCCTGTTTGCTAAAGATATTTTGTGGCCCCTTCTGCCCTTCCTAATTCCTTGTTTGAGTTCTTTCCTGCTGTCTCTGTATTCTTCGAGTGCTCTGTCTGTCTTTGGTTTCCTAAAACTTATGTATGCTTCCTTCCTTTTCCTTTTTGACTAGGCTCTCAATTTCTCTTTTCATCCAAGGTTCTGGAATCTTGCCATTCTTATTCTTCATTTTCACAGGAACATGCTGGTCCTGAACTCTGCAACTGGCCTTTAAAATATTTTCACATGCTGGATGTGGATTTACCCTTAAAGAGCTGCCCCCAATTTACATTCCTCAGTACTTGCCTAATGTAGTGGTAGTTATCCATCTCCCAGCTTAATACTTTCACCCGGGGCCTATTCTTATCTTTATCCATAAATAACTCAAAACTTACAGAATTATGGTCACCGTTCCTGAAATACTCCCCCACTGAAACTTCGATCACCTGGCCAGACTTATTCCCAATACCAGGTCTAATATGGCCCCTTCCCTAGTTGGACTATTTATATATTGTTTCAAATAAAACTGGCCTGGACACACCCAACAAATGATGCCTTTTCAAAGCCCCTGGCACAAAGTGAGTCCCAGTCAATATAGGGGAAGTTTAAAATCGTCCACCACAACAATCCTGTTGTTTTTACATTTTCCACAGTCTGTTGCCACACCCTGTTCTTCTATTTCCTGTAGCTGTTGGGAGGCCTGCAGTCCAACCCCATCAAAGTGATTGTACCCTCCCTATTCCTGAACTCTACCCATATGGCTTTGCTGGATGAGCCCTCCAAGATACCCTCCCTCACTACAGCTGTTATATTCTCCCTTATCAGTAATGTAACTCCCCCACCTCTTACATCCCTCTCTATTCACCTGAAACATGTAAATCCTGGAATGTTAAGTCCTTTCCCTCCCCATCCAAATTTTACCTCGAGTAATTGCTAAGGTGTGAATTTTAAAGCCCACAGTTAAGCCCTGGTGTATTTCTTTAGAACAGAGACATTTACACCATTATGGTCCATTATGCTCACGCAGGCTCTTTGTTTGATCAATCCAGTGCGAATGCCACTGCCTTATGCTCTACCCATGTTCCATATTTTCTTTTGTTTCAAGTATTTATCCATATTTTTGCTTTAGCCAGTTCTGAACTCAAAGTATTCCATGCATCAACAACATTCAGTGTAAATAAACTGCTCTTGATCCCTCTGCAGTGTTTGTTTTAGTCAAAAGTTTTAAATTGCTGACCCTGACTACAAATTCTATAATTAGAAGAAATGGTCTTCCCCTGTTTATCAATTAAAGACTTGAAAATTTTAAGAAATGTAAATTTATCAATTTTTAAATCATTGCCTGTTCAACAACAACAGTGTACATTTAAGGCCCTGTGTAAATACAAAGAAACATCTTGATACTGTTCACAGCAGCATTAGAAAATCATGCGTACAATACTGAGTCATTTGAGCCCGTATTATGTTGGATGATGAAAAATTTGACCAATGTAGTTGCTTTTGATGTATACCTTGAACGATAAAAATGAGGCAGAGAGGGTTATTCAGAGTTTGCCAGGCAGCTGAAAACATGTCCACCAATGGTGGACCAATTATAATTGGTAATACACAAAAAGAGACAAATGAAGTAGTGCAGATATCTTGGAGAGTTGTGGGGCTGGTGGAAGTTATAGAGAAGTGGGTGGAGTTTGGCCGTGGAGGGATTTGAAAACTAGAACATGAATTTAAAAATCCTGATGTTGCAGGACCTGAAACAAGTGTAATTCATTGAGCATTGAGGTGATGAGGGAATGGGACTTGTAGTGAATTAATTCACAGGCAGCAGAGTTTTGGATGACCTAAAGTTTACAAATGATGGAATATGGTTGACTAGACAGGGATGTTTTAGAATAATTGAACACAGAGGTAAGAAAGGCATGAGTGAAGGTTTCAGCTGCAGATGAGCTGAGATGGGCGGTCAGGTAGTGTTATGGACAAATAGGCAGTCTTATTGAAGCTCAAAGATGAGATCTGATGTTCATCTCTGAATCTAATGTGACAAATCTGGGTTAATCTCCAGTCTGTTGCTAGGGAGAAGCATGGAGTTTGAAGATAAGGAACAGAGGAAAAGGAGCCAGTGCAATTGATTCTTTGACCATTATTAGATAAATAAGAATGGAACTAAGTGAAAGAAGTCCCACTTAGCTGGGTGACTGTGGAGGAGTGTTGAAGGATGACTGCATAAGGACAAGAAGAGAAATTTCAAGTGTGCTGCAGTTGTGTTGGATGTTATTTGTGACCTTGATAAAATTTGTCAGTACAGTGGCTTGGTCTGAAGCTTGTTGTCATGATTCAAACACGTCATTCTGTACCTTATCCTCTGTATCATGCTGGTGAATTTATGCTGCACAGTTGCTATAGTTTTAATGTGCTGTCTATAATGGAATGTCCAAACTAAGACCAGTATTCTTAATTGTGACGTAGCTAATATGTGTGCAAATATACTTCTCTACACTTTTCGTATGACTTCATTCATGATTGCCTCTTTTTAAAGTAACACATTCACTTGTACTTGTACTCTCACTTTTTGAGAAAATGTTGCATTATAAACTGAAGATATCTCTGTATATTCTTGATCAGTGGGGGAATGAAGTATTATGGGGAAAGGGCAGGAAAGTAGACATGAAGAATGGTTGGGTTAGTCATAATAGTATTGAATGGAAGAGCAGGCTCGAGGGACCAAGTGGCATACTCCCCTATTTCTTGTGGTCTTATGGTCTTGTAACCATTGAGCCTTTACTCGTAATCTATGAATTGTTTTCCCATGCTGCATTAGCACGCACATCTCACCATTAAATTTCATCTTCCACCCATCTGTTCATTTCACTATGTTCTTCTGAAGTCTTTGACTGTCTGCCATGTAGAGGGTTTCAAAAATTACATTTGTGGAATCAGAAAATTCTGAGCTCATGCTTTGAATACCTGCAAAATAATCAAAACGTG